AAAAAAAAAAAAAAAAAAAAAAAAAAGCAGTTCCCAAATGGCTACTTTTGCCCAGTTAAAAAAAGGGGGAAAAATAATAAAAGAGAGAAAAAATAAAGCAGAAAATTGAAAATGGATATGAGAGGGCTCTTTGTAAACTAAACCTGCTTTCTCTGTTGCTAACAGAGTCCTTTTTTAATCCTTTAGAAACAAGGCTGAGGTTTGGAGGGTTTTTTTCCACCTGGCTGAGAGGGCTGGGGAAGAGGCTTTGAATTTCTGGTCTAGTTTAATGGCTGATCTATAAGTCATTGACGTTAATACTAATCCATCTCCTGTCGAGTTAGTGCAAATTTATTCTCCTCTCAGCTCTTAAAACCATGACACTGCTAAACTGCTCAGAACAAAATCAGAAAATCTGCCTCTTTTGCACTGTAGATGTCTCTTCCACGTGCCAAATGTGAACATTAGTTTCTACCAATGAAAGCCAAATAAAATTAAAAAAAAAAAAAAAGAAAAACCTATATTTGGTAACTACATGGGTTAGATGGGCTTTCCTAATCTGTGTGAGGTCAATCCAAGGGATGTTTACATACTGTAGATAACCTACTTGAACAAATGCAGTATTATAGACCAATAAATGGATGTAAGAAAATTACATGTAAAAGTTTTGTATATTTGTTAATTTTGGTAATAAATATGATGTACTGTATACAGTACAGTACCTTAGCACCTCTTTTAATAAAAGTTAAATGGAAGGGAATGTCTGATGACAATTTATTGACCACTATGCATGGAAGAGTTAGTGCTTATCTGTGGCTTTATTGCCATCTGCCTTGGGCATCAGAAGAAGTGGTTGATCAGCACTACACCAAGGGACAAGTCTTCAGTCTGCAGATTCAAGCAGATTTTCTGCTTCTTTAATCTGTGCCCATTTGGACACTATCCTTAGCAGTGAATCAGTCCGTGCACACTCTACCAGAATAGGGTTACTTCGGTGTTCCAAACATGTTGAAGTAAAAAAAAAAGAAGTTTTGATCAATCTTTGAAACATTGCAGCTGGGACATTCAGAAGTTTGGAAACCAGTTACACAGCACTTGCAGAACCTTGTGTCTTCAAAAACATGATAGCATATAAGCTGCAATGTCCATTTGTGGTCATTTTTAAACTTCAAGAAACTTCTTGTGTCATTTGCATGTGTACAACGAGGAGGTGCCAAGGAAATTACATTAACACAAGCTTCACTGAAGATGGGGAAAAACTGCTGAAAGCTAGCTGCAATGCAGGTTTGCTTCTAGCTAAAAACTGCACCTAAAACTGCCCTAAGCCCATGTGCAGACAAAAGCACCCAGGTACCACACTTGCTCCATGTGCCTCTTGTGTTCGTTTCTGTTGCAGAAACGCACACACCTCTGCCTGTACTTTGCCTAATCTCAGACTGCATAAGCTGAAGATAAGAGCCTTGCTTCCAGCGACTCATGCAAAATCAGGCAATTTTGCAGAGGCAAGGAGCCAGCAAGGAAAAGAGTTTTGGTGACTTCTCAAAGATTTGCTCATCAGCTGTGATGCAAATCTGAACTTTAACGAATGTACATTCCACGGGTTCTGCTTATTACTTGAGCTGGAGCTCTACACCACCAGAGAAGCTGCTGAAAAATATATGAGGCAAAAAAAAAAAATGTTTGGGTGTGTTATGGCAATTTTGTATAAGTTTCTTTCCTTGGTAGTGGGGACAGTATGCTGGGGGCAAGCATATTCCTGGTGCAAAGTGGGAGAGGGGGGCTCCTAGCCTGCCTTCCCCCCACAAGCTCATATGCCAGAAGCCAATAATGTAGCAGCAGAAAGCAGCAGCCTCTTTCCCAGCCTTCCCTTTGGCACTGGAAACTGGGCAGTGAACCTGGGCAAAGCAGGTCTGCTACATTGGCCATACAGGTTTCAGGGGCCACAGTGCTGGGATGGAACCACATGGGATGCTAGAGGTGCTCTGCTGAAGCTGGAGGCAGGGGCTGCTAGATAAAATAAAGCCCTAGTATCCCTCCTCTCCTTACCCCTAAGCCTGCTTGCATAGAACTGATTTTAACAACATATGTCAGGATGTTTACCTTGCTGGGGGATAATGCAGAATCTGGAGCAGCTTCAAATACACCAATGGATTCAAGAATTCAGATACTTTAAAATCTTTAAGGGGATGTTGTTGTTCTTGTCTGCCTTTGCATATTTGAATAGTGGAAATAAACTTCCCAGGCAAGACTCTCCCTCATGGCTATAATGCTTGGCCTCCCCTGCTCTTGCTAGAGAATTAGGACAGACTCTGCTGTGGATATTAAGTTTCCATGGGTTCAAAAAGTTACTAGAAAAGTTTATAGAAGGAAAATCCATCAGGAGCCATTAAATTCCTCAGGGTCTCAGGGTATCTCTGAGCTGAAATTCCTGGAATAATAAAAAAATATCATTGCAAGTTTGTCTCAGTCCTTATATTCTTTTGTAAGCATCTCTTACTGGCCCCTGTATGGATTCGGGTACTGAGTTTGCAAGGAGTTTCAGGGAGATCTGTTTGCATGATAAGGTAACAGTTTTGTTACTCTAAATGCATACTGTGTATTCATTTTAATTGGGAAATTTGTGACAGAGAAATGAGGTGGAGAGATCTTTGCTCCAAGCAGTTACATGCATCCTAATGAAGCACTTGGTCCCAACCTGCGTTCCTGCAGGGACAAGACATTCCTGATAAGGTACATATGCATTTGGGAGACTAGCAGAATGTGTCCATATAGACATATGTTTATGAACACTACTGAGAGATATGTGATCTTCTTCAAATCCTGACAGCACAGAATATTATCTCTCCTTGCCATACAAGCCCACAATGCGTATAGATGTTTCTCTCCCTTTCTAGAGCTACATTCAGCTATTTGCAGGCCTTCACTGACTGTCTTTTCAGTCACATTTTACAGTAACAAGAAGTCTGTGGATAATTCTTCATTTCCAGATGCCAAAATGACTTACTTCTCCCATCATACAGCAGAGTGGGAGGAAGGTGAATGGGGATGCAATCCAGCATCACGTATGCCTTGCAGAAGACATTTACTACTGAGGAGGAGTGGTAGAAATAGCTGCTCAGAGGTCTGGTTTTGCCTCACAGAAGTCCTTGGCAGTGGCTTTAGGCTGGAGAGGCTGAGGAATGACTGAGACCATCTTCCTAGGTTGTGTGTCACACCATGAGGAAGTGCTAATGGCACTTGTGTTACATGCTTGGTCTCACACATAAGGAGCCTACAGGGTACACTGGGCCCCGACCTGACTTCCTAAGCTGCATGTCAGTTAGGCTGCATCATTATCCCCTTGTTTTGCCTAAACATGTGAGTACAGTCAATATTTCCACAGCTTGACGCTGTGACACTTACCAGATGGTGTTTTGTAGACATTTGGCACCCTGATTTTTTTTTCTTCTATGAAACAGGTGACATAATGTAGTGTTTGCAGAGTGTAAAATCTCTACGCATACAACCAAAGCTTGCATCTCATATGCCCACAGACAAATCTAAAGGGCTGTCAGCTTTTACCAGCGAGATACAGAAAGGATTCATTTATGGAGCAGGGATCACTGAGCCTGGCCTCTGGGCTGAGGGTTTTCTCCATTCTTCTGCTTTGAGGCAGTCCTGCATGGGGTCTGCACTCTACCTGCTGCTGTGGTGCCAGAGGACAAGGACAGATTCGATCTCCCATAACCAGCACCCTGGCCACCTCCTGCTTGAAGACAGGCCTAAGTGCATAAAGTTTGTATCACTCTTGGTATAATTTTGTTTCTTTGGTCTTGATGACATTTTTTCCACATCTGGAAAAAAAAAAAAAGGAGAAAAGGAAATTGCTGTCTGGGAACCATTGCTTAGTGTCAGCTGTGGCTAAAAACAAATCATTCAGGGGAATAAATAACAGGTGTGAGCCATTTTACTAATTCTAGCCACCTAAAAGTTGAGCATATGGCCTGAGCGATCCATCTAAGCTTTCTTTCTAACCAGCAGAGCTAGACAAATAATGATTCATTCTCTCCATCTTGAACATCCTTACAAAACAGTGGCATGCCCTCAGAAGACATTTTTCTCTCAGTAAATGGTCTGTCATGTGTGGATTTATACTTGCAGTTCAGAGCGTGGCACCAGGCATGGCATTTTCAAGCTCTCTGCTCTACGTTAGGTTTGATAAGTTACCATGGGTGAACACTTCATCTGATGTTTTCCTCTTTTTTTTTCATCCTCCCACTCTTCTGTGCCTATTCTATGTGGACTGCATGACTTTCCATCTCTTATGCTGCATTGATCATCACATCTAAGCACTGAGCAGAAACTGTCTTTAAGCTGTCTGTCAAGATCCCAGATCTTTTCCAGGAAAATTCAGAACCCAGGTATGCACAAAAAAAGTTCACTAAATCCACAAGGTGCAGATCCCAGAGGTCTGTCAACCATATGCACCACATAATACCTGCGGTGGCTGTGAAAAAAGGGAAAGAAGCATTTAAGGGAGGTACAAGTAACGTCCAAGAGGCTTCAGATAAGTGCTGACCTGAACAAATGCAAAGTTGAGGAGATTCAGTTGCTTCTGGCTTCACGTTGCCATAAGTTTATTGCTGACATGCTGTTAGACTTTATCATTTTGGTTTCTGCTAGCTTTGC